CGATCATTTTGTTTCGATCCCCTACCGTTTCCAGCCCGTTCAAATTCTATCGGGACCATTACAAAACGAACGTGGCCGCCAACACAGAGAATGGTACCATACTGTTGTTCTCGGCACCGATCACCATCAAAGGATTACCGCCTGAGCAACAACCGCTTACTTTCGCGCCGATTTCCTCAGTAGCTGGCTTTCCCATCGCGATCATCAGCAAGGAAGACGCAAAGGGACGAGGATTTGCTCAGGTAAATAGCCCTATCAAGAGGTTCCTGAAAACTCCAAGGATTCTTCATGCTGTTCAGATCCAACTTATTCGACCACTGTCCAAGAAGGAATCCGTTACGATGGAATTTTATCTGGGAGCCTTTGACGTGAATGGCGACCAGGTGGCTGATTGTAAGGTGACCATCAAAGTGCAGGCAATCGCCACGGGACCACCAAAATTCGATGCGTCGCATTATTTCACTGCTCTATCACTGTTAAGAGCACATACGAATGTGATGCGAGTACATGCCAGGTGATTTTTTTCTTTCGTGATTTTTTTTTCTTGCTAAAAAGTTTTCTTTGAGAGAGGGCGCATTCCAAAATTTTCCGGTTTCTTGGTGATTTCAAAAATGATTTCCAAAGAAGATTGCAATCTCTGCTTGTATCCTCTGCATTCCGCGGTGACCATTCCATTACAACAAGACTAAGTCCCTAGATTGTATGTTCTTGGTTTCGGTCGTCGACGTTCCGATTTCCGGCCGAATTGCTCCGGAAGATCAAGGTCGCCTCATTTAAAAAATAGGAAGGCTTCAGCAATAACTGTGTCGGAAATCAACGACTTTTCTATCTTTTCAAAATATGGAACAGGAATATTGTGGAAAATAAAGGTAGTACACGGAAGTAGTGCTGGAAGTTCTGTATTGCTAATATGTTATACCGTATCTAACGGTCTACCGTATCTTCTCCACCCATCTAATAACCTATTCGCAGTTTAAACCTCCCTCGCAGCTCGTTAACATTTTCGGTGAATGTCATCGTCGTAGCGCGCGGTTCTTTGTGAATGAGGCCTGTTGGATCGTCGGGACCAGGATTTTTTGCCACCCTTCCCTGTCCCCGTTCCCATTCTGAAAACGTTCATTTCGAATTCGGTTGTCTCATTTTTCTTCGGACATACACGATACGTCGTGTCTTCGGGGAGCAATTATTCAGACGGAAAGAAGCTCTCAGACATCCCATTGCATAATCACTGAACAGTTGGAGTTCTTCCAGTGAACATTTGGGTTAAATGGGGAATCAGAGCATGTCCTGCCGTTGAGGAACTTTCTGTAGAAGCACTCCCACCCCGCCTCGAAACTCCCCGCTCTGGTATGAGCTCTTCCTCATTCCCTGCCTTACCTATTATCTCCCTGAATTTCTCAATATCCTACCGCATTTGCGGTCCTTTTCAAGCATTCTCTACTTTTCATCCGAAAACTACCGTCGAGCGGGGGGAGGAGTGGGAGAGGAAGGATGAAAAGCCACTGAGAGAAGTCAACTACCGAAAACAATTCTCTCATGGGCAAATACGTCCCCTCTCGAGGAATCCCCAACGCACGACCTGCCCTTTGGAAGATCGCTGATCCTGACGCTTGGTTGATCAGTCAGTCTTTTACACCTTCTTTTCGTCGATTATTTCTGGAGGGATTGAC